AAAGGCAAAGCTAACCTTATTTGGAGATTAGGGTCAGTTTGAATCATCAAGCTTGAGGCTGATGCCACACTATCAATTCCAACAGTAAATTCTCTGCTACTATTGTCTTTTGGAGGCTTATGGGTTATATATGGCATCACAAATTGTCGGCATATGGGAATTTGACATGACATCAAATATAGATGGACCTACCTAATCAATATGCACCCTACGGCACCATTTTCCTTAGTAAATGTTGTATAGCCTAAATAAATTGGGGGTGAAGGTTATTACTGATGTTAAATCTTCACAAAATGGTTATTTAACAATAAATTTTTTTTCTTTCAAATATGAGCTTAGTGAAGTTGGCTAAAGTATATGCACCCGAATTAAAATCATTTTCTAAACAATTTTTGTGCGTTTCTAGTTTGTTAAACCATCTATTTTCCATTGTTTCTAGCGGGCAAAAGCATTGACTTTTGTATTTTGGAGTGAATTGCAGAGCATTGACTATCTAATAAACAAACCAGAAAGCACAACAATTTAGCAAGTAAGATGCTGCTGAGAGCATAAGAGGCACATGCTGCAGAATTTTTTCTCAAACTTTTATCTGATCATTGCCTTAAGTCACACCAATTACAAAAGCATTTTCTTTTTTCTCCTCTGTCATAAGTATTTACAGGAATCTTTTGATTACCAATAATTTTATATATAGTCAAAAGATTTTACCCACTTGGGAAGTGGGAGGTTGGAATTTATTTATTTATTTTCATGGTCCATTTGAAATGATGAAATATACATATGATGGATGGTCCATTAGAAATTATAATGTGAGGTTGTGCACTACAACTGTTCCACTTCCTAGTGGTAACTGGTGAGAGCAATATGATATCATTTTATTTATTAAATCTCCAGAACATAGATCCATTAGAGGAAGGGAAATAATGAGACTGGAAAGATGCTGCAAGGGCCAAAATGGAATGAGCTGAAAACAAAAGATTCTTTCAGCCAAAAAAGAAGAAGGAAGAGAATCCAGAAGCTGTTAATTTTTAGAGATACTTGGCTTGGCTTAAGCTGTTAATTTGTAAATTAATTAACCTGAAACTTGAAGCACCCACTTTTCTGTCTCTCTTTCTTTGTGAAAAGAATTTAAAACCATTTTGACCGCAACCCTCTAAAGACTTAAACTTGGGAAGTACCAAGCCCCACCAATCCAAGTCTATTTTAATATGCTCATGCCTCAAATTTTCTTAGGTGTCAGAAACACAAAACCAAGCCCCAAGAATCTCTCTCCTTGAGAGTGTGTGTGTGTGCGTGTGAGAGAGAGAGAGAGAGAGAGAGAGAGAGAGAGAGAGAGGAGAGTTGTTTATATGTTGGAAATGGTGAGGCAGTGAATCAAAGTGATTAACTTGGCTGGCTTGGCAGACTTCATCTTTCATGGTTGCTTGTGTTTTGTAAGGACATGAAGGGAGATTATTCAGGTCCATGGACAAAACAGAAGAATGAAAACAACACACCCCCCTCATGTTGTTATGCAATTCAGCACACAACAAGAAGACAACAACAATGCATACAAACACAAACTGTTGTTGTTGTTGTACCAAAACAGAAACCTACTCCACTAAAACATTCCTCTAAACTGGCTCTTCCTCCTTGCCACAACCACACCAACACTTTCTCATTCGTTCCCATGCTTCTTGTTCTTTTATTTCTTGTTGCTTCTTCTCTCTTCACCCCTGCATTGTCACACCCAATTGTCTCAGATTCCGGCCGCCGCCTCTCGCCGGCCAATCAGACTTTTCGGCCCGGTTCAGAGCTGAACAAGTTGAGGGTTGTCCAATCATATTTAAAGAAGATCAACAAGCCTGCAGTCAAGACTATCCAGGCATTTTCCTTTTGTCTTTGATAGTGAACTTCTAAATGCTGCAAAAGTTCATCTTCTTCTTGTCTTCTTTTTTCTGTTTTTGTTTTTCATTTTTTCGAATCGATCAATAATTGTCCTCCATGAAATTTCAACCCAACATATTTAATGACTTGGGTTCCTGTTTATTTCTGTCCACAGAGCCCTGATGGTGATGTGATAGACTGTGTTCTATCTCATCTTCAACCAGCTTTTGACCATCCTGAGCTTAAAGGACAGAAGCCATTGGTAATTTCCATGAACTACCTACCCTTTTTCAAGTTTGGAAAGTTAATGCGCAATAAGTTTATATATAATTAAGGAACATGGTTCTACAGGATGAACCAGAGAGGCCCAAAGACAAAGGCCATAACAACACAGATACAGTGGGAGACAGTTATCAGCTGTGGTCAGATTCTGGTGAATCCTGTCCACAAGGAACTGTTCCAATCAGGAGAACAGCAGATAAAGACATTTTAAGAGCAAGCTCCATCAGAAGATTTGGAAGAAAACCAAGAAGAAGTGTGAGGAGAGACTCATCAGGCAGTGGCCATGAGGTTAGTGTTTTTCATCACAAAATTTAGAACTGGTAATAGTCAAACTGTCATTGACTAAATATTTTTATTTTTGTTTGGATTTTTGACAGCATGCAGTTGTGTTTGTAAATGGAGATCAATACTATGGAGCAAAGGCCAGCATAAATGTGTGGGCTCCGCGTGTGACTGATCAATATGAATTTAGCTTGTCACAGATTTGGGTAATCTCTGGTTCATTTGGCCATGATCTAAATACCATTGAAGCTGGATGGCAGGCATGTCTCTCAGATTTCAGATTTGTCTTACACAAATTAAATTTCCCATTTTTTTTTTCTTCTCAAATTTTAAAAGCAATGATTTTTTTTTCTTCAGGTTAGCCCAGAGTTATATGGAGACAACTACCCTAGATTCTTTACATATTGGACAGTAAGTTTTTATTAGAATACTTGTTTTTCTATTCTGCCTATAAAATGAAAGAGGTGCTAATTTGATGCTTATAATATACAGACAGATGCATATCAAGCCACTGGATGCTACAACTTGCTTTGCTCTGGCTTTGTCCAAACTAATAACAAGATTGCTATTGGAGCAGCAATCTCTCCAAGGTCTTCTTATGGTAACAGACAATTTGACATTGGCTTGATGGTTTGGAAGGTGAGAGTTTTGGTCAAAATTCAAATGATTTATATTCAAAGCCAAAAAAAGACAAATTTAAATCAAATCAATATCATGAGAATTCAGTTTGCTGTCTTTAGGTTTAAGGTAGTTTGTTTTGGTTGGTCGCAACCCAAAAAAAGAAAATTCTGCTATTCCCCATATTTTTATATTTAAAGACTAATAATATTCTTTCACTTCCCCAAGGTTAAACTTTTTTTTTTTTTTGATGAGACCCAAGGTTAAACTTTGCTTCTTTACTTCATAATAGGGCATTTCTATTACTTTATTTATTGTTTTTTTTCCCTTTCACTTGCATGAATGATTGTGTGGATGCTTTTTACTTCTAGATATAATCTGCAGAACCAGATAATAAGACAGTAAATTAAAACCCATCATGTAAGGGACAAAAACTCATCATTATGCAGTCAAAAGACGATGCAAGACAAATAACCTAATGGATTACAACCAGATTGATCTAACAAAGTTACCAACATGTAATTATGATATTGCAGGATCCAAAGCATGGTCACTGGTGGCTAGAATTTGGTAATGGCCTACTAGTTGGATATTGGCCTGCATTCTTGTTTAGTCACCTGAGGAGCCATGCAAGCATGGTGCAATTTGGAGGAGAAATTGTAAATAGTAGATCAATGGGATACCACACATCTACACAAATGGGGAGTGGCCAATTTGCAGAAGCTGGATTTGGAAAAGCATCCTACTTCAGAAATTTGCAAGTAGTTGATTGGGATAACAACCTACTTCCTCTTACAAATCTTCACCTCCTGGCTGATCATCCAAATTGTTATGATATAAGACAAGGACGAAACAATGTATGGGGGACTTACTTTTACTATGGAGGCCCTGGAAGAAATGTAAGGTGTCCATGAATATAACAGCATAGTACAGAAAGCAACCTGTCTTGATTTTGATTTTTTTCATTTTGGGGCATTTATTATTTTTTTCTTTGTAGGCCATAACAAGGGTTTTGTTGTATTTTACAGTCCTCATATAAAAAAAAAAGTGTGTTCTATCTATTCAAAACGTTTAGCACCCTCTCACTGGGACCATGTAAATTTGAGGACAGAGAAAGTGTTGTGGTTTGGAAAACCCATACAGCTTTAGAAGTTGAAAACTTTCTTGGTCTGAAGCAAAGCAAAATGCATGATATTTTAGTGGCAAAGCATCCTTATTCTAAGGCCAAGCATGTGGGGAGCAACAAGGACACAAACTTTAAAAGAATCCAGCACACATAACCACTTTAAGTACTCTCAACCCTTTTCTGACTTTATAATATCATAGACATATCCTACCTTATAACCCCGTTTTCTAAATCCTCAAGTAAATACAAGAATCTCAGTTTCCGCAATATATAATAAATATTTGTTGATATTAACGTAGAGTCGTCAACCCCAAATTGTATTTAAATAGTTGAAATCTGCACTTCCAGCCAAGATTTTGCTCCTAGCAGCAGATTTTGTCCTGTTTCATTGTTGATGACCACAGAGTCTACCCATTTGAATCAGGTGTTCAGTTTTCTAGAAAATGCCTTAAAATCACTTCAGCATGTATTTGTGGTAAAGTAGGGAAAACAGAGAAACAGGGGACAAAGCATAAAATTTTATGCGAAGCTGAAGGCTTAAACTTAAAGCAGAGTTGTAGGCGTATTGCAGAATAGTTCTGTCAATGAAGACCAAGGAAAAGCACTAAAAGACGCTTAGCTTGAAAGCAAAGAAACCAGAAGAAAAATGAGACATTTCCTTTTGGTTTGTTTTACTTTCGCAGGTCCACATTGATTCCGGGGACAGATGAATCATGAAACGCGTTAAAAGAATGTCCCGCTTTCTTTTCTTTTTTTTACCATATTAAACATCACTCAAACATAATGCAATATTCAAACTAAAAGCAAGATGTGAACTGCTTTATCATAAAAACAAAAACAAAAAATCAAATATCATTAAAATAGAATGATACAAAGTGGATTCACCGACTCAGCAGAGTTGTTCAAACTTCATTGAGACAATAAGAATCAGCCAACTTCAAAGGCAAATACTATGCACAGGGATGCAACCACCATGGTTGCTATTAGGATCTCACAACCAAAAACCAAACCTTCATAAGCCAAATAGGCAGTGCTTCAGGAGATTTATAATATTGGCGTTTGGCCAACACAAAGATAGGTCAAGATGCACCTTCAAAATATATTGAGAACCAGTAGCTCAACCATGGACATTTTGTAGCAGAGTATCGTTCTCGCAAGTCTGTTAATCATTGTTCACTTTAGACGGGAATCATCTTCTGCTATTTGAACGCCCATGAATTCTGCAACAGCAAGTTCTATAAATTTAATAAGATCTTCAGGATTGCAGACTTGAGAACTACAAGTTCCTATGACGTCCAAGTCCCTCATATCATCTATCCAAGCATTCTTTGTAGCAGAACTCCAGTTCTGTTGCATGTGTACCATCCCATATGTTTTTCCCAAAAATGTACACAGTTTAAAGAACTCGGGATCCTTTAAGGTTTCACGAAAATCCAAATGAAATCCATGACTTCCTGTCAAATCTTCTACAGATTTTATATTCAATGCCATTTTCTGAATAGATGCAAGGTTGAAAGTCAAATGCTGAGCTATTGGGGATAAATTCCAAGTGTGATTTCCATTCTTTCTAGCGAGATAATGAAGTTGGATATAGTTGGCTAAGGACAACCGTGCTAGGAAGATTAAGAAATCATTGAAGTTCATGCCTGCATTAAAAAGAGAGAATTAGTATGCAGTATAGGATTTTTCATTCATTTTGTTTCCCCTAAAAAAAAGATCCATCTTCCTCTTTCAGGTGCTTGAGTTGACAATGGCCGAATTCAGCTAATAATTCAGTAGTTATGATTATGAAAAAGTCCCTGGCTTAGCCACTTAGGAAATCTAAACAAGCTTAGGTTAATGTATGCCCGCTTTTTAGAAGATTAGGATACCGTGACATTAAAGTACTGAATTTAAGCATTCTCCAAAACTTTATACTCTACCTGTATTAGCGGCAAGGTTGCGTTGGCAGAGACCTTCAAAGTCATCACATATATCCTTGATGTCTTCTATGTACTCCTTAGCCTCGTTGTAGTCCCTCAAGAGCAAATCCCACTACAATTAATGAGATAAATGTTAGTTCCACTAGAACATTGGCTTCATCAATGTTTAATGGAATAGCAATGCAGCTAAAGCAATGCTAAGCGCACAGACAGAGAAAAAAGGGATTTGATTTATTTCGCCCCAGTTGCAATGGATTCGTTTTAATACATGAGGTACTTGGCAGTAATGTTCCTCTTACCACCCAACGGAGATTATAAGCGTTCAACCAGTTGTGGTTTATTGAAATTGTATCTTCCTGAAAGCATTATGAACACAAATAAGATGATAAGTTTTCATTCCAGGCCAAGAAGAAAAGGATAAGACATTTTACCATTAAGATATTTTCATTTTGTTCAAGTATATAGTCAAGTACTGCTGTTATATTTTTTTTCCCTTATTTTACATAGTTGAACTTCACATAGAGAGTGATTTATTTGGACAGCCTTTCTAAAATCAATCACATGCTTTCAGACTTTTATTTTATGTATCGAAAAATCCAAGCATGAAAAAAACTTGAAGAAATAGAAGACATACCAAATTATGAACTTGATGATACCATCCGCTAGGCACAAAGATAATCTCATTTTGCTCTTGAGTGCACTCCAACCAGATAGTCTACTTAAGAGAAGAATATAAATTTCAAACACAAGGAAAGTAGCAAAATAAAGATAAAATGAATTGACAAAAAAAAATTGAAGATTGATGATTTACCTCTGCAAACCCAGAAATCTTAGTTTCATTAACATCATCAAAGATATTATATACACAGCTTTTCATATTCCTGAGAGAGAAAAAAGGGGGGAGGGGGGTGGAAGGGAAGAGAGAAAGTCGTATAAGAAGAGAAATATGCACTCTTTTTATCAAACCAATGAACAAATCAAATGTACCAACATAGATCTCTCTGATTATTATTAGTGTGAGAAACTGTAACCATGCCTGTCAAACACAAGATGACTTTGAGAAGGAGACAGGAAAAGCCACCGTTTTTTGCCGCACACATTGGCTGACCAGCTATATGACCTAAAAACATCAGCATGAAAAGGAGTCCAGGTGCCTGCATAAAGATGAAATGTTAGGTAGTTCCATGTGGGTTAAACTAAAGAAAGTGGAAGCTAAATCTCTGTTAAAGAAATTGACTTAGATGACATCCATGATTAACAAAAAAGTGAATGTGTCTATCACAAATATGCTCGAACCTTTTGCTCCCATGTAAACAAAACGATAATCAGAGCAACTTATTTCGTTATTTTCTGAGTAAATGTTGGGATCATTATGCATATGATAATTGTCAAGATATATGTTGAGCCAATCATCACAAAAGAACACCGGAGTTGTGTATGCTTCATATTCTGGGTACTCCTGGAGATCAGAATACAATAGGACGATAGAACAAGTGAGGCGACTGAGCTGGAAACTTTTCACATATTAAACATTGACTAGATACAATGATATGGGCAAAGTGACAGACTATCAAAGCTGACATGTCCCGAACATACATCTTGTTTTTTTTTTTTTTTTTGGAGCAAGTAAATAAACTTATCAAACATAGAGACTCAAATTCCACATACACCTGAAGCAGACAGTAGCAAAGACGAAGAAAGCAACAAGTCACCAAGAAACTTATCCTTTAACTTAGCATTAAAATGCCACAACTAACTCCTCAACTGCCCATAGTTATAAATCCCTATCAATAAAGAGTGGATTCTAACTTGTACCTTTACAAAATGCCAGTCCTTCAAATATAGCGACATCTTGCTCATAGCTGAATGACTTGAAGCATTGCCATGCTCCTGCATGGGGTCCCCAAGCCATTGCTCAACAAATTCTGCAACAGTCATTTCCAACCTCTTCTGATCTGTGAATTCTCTAGTACCACAATCTGCAACCTAAAAGTAGCAAAATGTCACATCATCTTTAAAAGGTAGAGAGCAAACCCAGACTAGCATCATATATAGATCAAACATAAAAAGCCTGAACCTTTAAACCATTTATTCAACTCCAAACCCACAGAAAACAAAACAAACCAAAAGTAAGGGGTAGTGGGTTAGCTAATATCTAATAACCATTGTCAATCTTCCTAATTATGATGAATTCCTCTAATATACTTCATTGAAATCAGCTTCATGCTGAAGCTCCCAGTGTAACCAACCAAAGAAAAAAGAGTAAAAACTTCAACTTTGTGCAAGAAATTATAAGTACCTGAACTTTGGATTTCCCAAAATGGGTAGCGAAAAATTGAAGATTGGGCTGGCCATTGTCAGTGACCCAGTCTCTGCAAGCCCTCCAATCGTCCATGAGACCTGTGAGCACCACAGGCTGGTTTTTCTCCATGTACCTCTCCACAAACTCATGGTAACTCAGCTCTTTCCCATTCACCTTCTCAATTTGCCCGCCAATTTTGATACCCATATTTTCTTCTCTCAGCTTAGGCAAACTTCGCCGAGTGTATTCATTTCATGCGTTCGGTTTCTGTGCGCGCCCTATTGATTTAGGGAAGAAGGCTTACGCTGGGCCGGGTCGGGCCCAAAGTACTTTTATTGCGGCATGTTGGGCCCAATAAAAATGTTGTCCAAAAGCCCAAAGTCAACAGCCGACGTGGCCTCTTGCATCGCGGGCCACGTGGGCGGAGATATATCTTTACCCGCACGTAACCCAAATAAAATCTCCTAGCCCTAAACTGAATAGGCTTTTCATTCTCTTCAACGAGATTTGAAACTCACAAAACCTTTGGTTGACGAAGAAAAGCACAAGAAAGCAAACTAGAAGCAACGACAATGGCGGCTCCGAGTTCATCTGCTCATGATCAATCTCAGCCCTCTTCTTTCTTCTTCTTCGGACCCGTACGTATTCCTAGTCATATGTTTATAGCTATTTTTGTTTCCTGCGAAAGGTTTCTAAAATAAGCTAAGTTTAAATAAGACAAAATGGTGCAGCGCCTCCAAATAAGAACAAGCTGGATAACATTTTTTTTCTACCTCTCCAATCGGAAGAGGCAAACTTTAATTGTCTGTACTAACTAAACAATTTAAGGCTTAAAGTGGACTTTTAAATCATTTTCTCTTTAAATTTTTAGTGACAAAGATGTGATTTTTCGAGAGTAATCGTGTGTGTGTGGGGGTGGGGGGTTTTCTGCTAAAACTTTAATCACAAAGAGAAGAGAATTTAGAAGTTTTCTGGGCTCTGTATATGCGCTATGTAACTATGTTGATTGTTGCGTTTGAGTTTTCTTGAACTCGAAAATTTTAACCAAAAGAGTCGCTTTTTTTTTTGCCACAAGAATTTCTTGTATTTCGGGATTCTAGTTTTGAATGAGATAGTTGGAGTATTTGTATGCAAATTGATGATTGTTCTTGTTAGCCGAGTTTTTTATGATGGTTCAGAATTAATTGTTGTCAAAATATGGATCATATTAATTCTATGTCTGGAAGAGTAATTAAAGTATTTGTGTCCAAAACAGAAAAATTAACAAGAAGGATTTTTCCACTGCAATTTCTGAACGCAAGCAGTCTCCGAATCGACTTGTTGTAGATGAAGCTGTCAATGATGATAACTCTGTGGTTTCCTTGCACCCTGCTACAATGGAAAAGCTTCAGCTTATTTATGGAGACATTGTTTTAATTAAGGTAATTTTGCTTTCCTATGTTTTTAATAGAGTAAATGCCAGTAATTTCAATCTCTAAATGCCTGGAATTTAAATGTCACTTACTTTTTGGGGGCATACAGGGGAAAAACCGAAGAGACAGTTTGTATTGATCTTGCTGATGACGAATGCGAGCAACCGAAGATCAGAATGAACAAAGTTGTGCGAGCTAATCTTAGGGTTTGTATTGCAGATGTTGTGTCTATTCATCATAGCCCTGATGTCAAGTATGGAAACCAGGTTCACATCCTTCCAATTGATGATACATCCTTCCAATTGATGATACAATTGAAGGAGTGACTGGAAACTTGTTTCATGCGTATTTGAAGCGTGAGTTTTCTCTTTCAAATTTAATCCTTTGTTGACTGTGTCATACAAAAATCTTTTGTTGCAATTAAGCTTTGTGCTTCTGTGCATGTCTATTAACATTCATACTGGTTTTGCAGCATACTTCGCAGATGCATACCGGCCTGTGAGGAAGGGTGACCTTTTCCTGGTTAGGGGTATAATGAGAAGTGTTGAGTTCAAGGTCATGGAGACAAACCCTGCTGAGTACTGCGTTGTTACACCAGATACTGAGATTTTCTGTGACAGAGAACCTATCAAGCGTGACGATGAGGAAAGATTAGATGATATGAGATATGATGATGTTGGAGGTGTTAGGAAGCAAATGGCTTAAATGCGTGAATTGGTAGAACTTCCTCTTAGATATCCACAGCTCTTCAAATCAATTGGAGTGAAACCCCCTAAAGGCATTTTGCTTTATGGCCCACCCGGGACTGGCAAAACTCTGATTGCAAGGGCTGTAGCTAATGAGACTGGTGCATTCTTCTTTTTGATTGATGGACCTGAAATCATGTCAAAGATGGCTGGTGAGAATGAAAGCAACTTGAGGAAGGCATTCGAGGAAGCAGAAAAAGAATGCACCCTCAATCATTTTTATTGATGAGATAGATTATATTGCTCCAAAGAGGGAAAAGACCCATGGTGAAGTGGAAAGCGTATAGAATCTCAACTTCTTACTTTAATGGATGGCCTTAAGTCTCGTGCACATGTTATTGTCATGGGAGCTACGAATAGGCCAAACAGCATTGATCTTGCTCTGAGGAGATTCGATAGAGAGATTGACATTGGTGTTCCAGATGAAGTTGGAAGATTGGAAGTTTTGAGAATCCATACAAAGAAGATGAAACTTGCAGATGATGTAAAAAAATTTCACTGGCTTTTCCTATCACATAGTTTTGTGTTTTACTGCGGCAACAGTTTCTGATGCTTAGTTGGCGTTCTGTTACACTTACAGGTTGATCTTAAAAGAGTGGGAAAAGATACTCATGGTTTTGTTGGGGCAGGTCTTGCTGCTCTCTGCTCAGAGGCTGCTTTTCAGTGCATCCGGGAGAAAATGGATGTCATTGACTTAGAAGACGATACGATTGATGCTGAGGTGTTGAATTCCATGGCTGTGACGAATGAACACTTCCAGACTGCATTGGCCTCTACAAATCCTTCAGCCTTGAGAGAAACTGTGAGTCTAAAATTTTATAAATTTAAAAGAACCAAGCTTCAATTGTTAACTTGCTACTGAGAAAATCTTTGGGGGCACTTGAGAATGACAAGTTCTTTTCTCGGTTTTGCAGGTTGTGGAGGTACCTAATGTCTCATGGGATGCCATTGGTGGCTTGGAGAGTGTCAAATGAGAACTTCAAGAGGTTTGTGATTCAGTTTTATCTCTTTCTTCTTTACATATATAATTTATTTGGAGAAAATTTCATACTAATTCTTTCACCTCTGGCAGACTGTCCAATACCCCGTGGAGCATCCAGAGAAGTTCGAAAAATTTGGCATGTCACCTTCTAAAGGTGTTCTCTTTTATGGATCACCTGGATGTGGTTTGGAGAAAGTGAGGCAAATGTGCGTGAGATCTTTGACAAGGCTCGCCAGTCTGCTCCTTGTGTTCTTTTCTTTGATGAGCTGGACTCAATTGCAACTCAGGTACTTAAGATTTTCTTTCTACTTTCTATCTTAAATCAACAGTTTTCGGCCTGAACTAACTCTAAAACCCCCTCCCTCTGTCAGCGTGGCAATTCTGTAGGAGACGCCGGTGGCGCTGGAGATAGAGTCTTGAACCAACTTCTAACTGAAATGGATGGAATGAATGCAAAGAAAACCGTCTTCATCATTGGGGCAACAAACAGGCCAGACTTTATCGACCCGGCATTGCTCAGGCCTGGACGTCTTGACCAACTGATCTACATCCCACTCCCAGATGAGCCTTCTCGCCTTCAGATTTTCAAAGCATGCTTGCGGAAGTCACCCATCTCTAAGGTTATTGACCTTGCAGCTCTTGCCTGTTATACACAAGGTTTTAGTGGTGCAGATATCACTGAGATATGTCAACGTGCCTGCAAGTATGCCATTAGAGAAAACATTGAAAAGGTAAGAGGTTTTCTCCTGCTAGAGTTAGTTTTGTTTGCCGCATATGCTCCTTAAAAGGTTATTGTTTTGTAAGATAGAAAATATTTTAAGTTTCCTTCACACACAAGAAACGAATTGCAGCATAAACAGGATTCATAGATGCTTGATGAAACTTTATTCTAAATTTTTTATGCATCACATGAGAAATTCCATACTCATTTTTTTGTTTCCTCTTCAACCAATTTCTAGGATATTGAGAGGGAGAGAGAAAGGAGAGAGAACCCAGAAGCTATGGAAGAGGATGGCATTGAGGAAGAGGTACATGAGATAAAGCCAGCTCATTTTGAGGAGTCAATGAAATATGCCCGCAGAAGTGTGAGCGATTCAAGCATCAGGAAGTACCAGCAATTTGCTCAGACTTTACAGCAATCTCGTGGTTTTGGATCCGAGTTTTGATTTTCGGAACAGACCAACAACACTGCAGGAGAAGCTCCATTTTCTTCGGCCACAGCTGCTGCACCTGCAGATGATGCAGATGATATCTGTACAGCTGAACTATAACCAATGATGCTGATCTGTACAGATGATCTTTGATGGGGAAGAAGAAGAAGCTTGATGCTTTTCTTACTACTATATACATTTTGTTCATCTATCATTTAAATATTTGGATTTGTATTAAAAGTAAATATAATTTAACACCAGATGAGATGAAATGTAGCATGCCTAATTTTTTGGTCATGTGGGATGGCCAATTCCATGCATGCATAGTGGACCCTACAACTTTACAAGCTTACCTCTACTGTATATACAAAACTATAAAAGTCCCTCATGAATCATGATCTGCACTGGGAATCTTTGATGTCTGCTTTTCATAAAAAAGTAATGAAAACCAAGAGACTGGATCTCAGATCTCACATATCTTAATCTTAGATATGATATATGGGGTCCATAATGTTGCATGTGCGGTCACGTGAGCTCAAGCAAAAGGTCACCACAGAGAGAGAGAGAGAGATGAAGGGCATCTTTTTCTTGCTCTCTACCTTTCTGCTTAAGTATGGAAGATACTGCTAAATAAAATAGAGAATTTGTGAGCTACACAAAAAATACTCCACTGTGTTTTTTTAATATCTGATTTTGTTTTGTTTATTTTTATTAAGATATAGATGAATTCTTCTGTCTATTGTTCACATGGTGGGGGCCTAGATGGTTACAGAGTACTTCTTCTTCTTATTATCTTTAAAACAGCGACGGTGGGGAGAGAGATAAGGAGGGATTAGCTTCCCCAATTATATTTATAGCAGAAGCTCACATTTCCCCACCACACATCCTTACCTTTCTTTTTTCTCTTTCACATCCCCAAGAAGAGAAAAATCCATATATCCCTCCAAAATTCTTTTCCAAGTTTGCAGCACACAACAACACGTGAA